GTTGCAGGTTTCTGGACAGACGATCTGGGAGTTCGTTTTCTTCTCCAGGTATGTGTATTACGTCGAAGATAAACTCCTACAGTAGGAGCGACCAACTTTGCCTTATCTTCCTTGTAGTGGTTTAGCCATAGTAGGGCCCTGCTGTCGGTGTACAAGATAAACCTCGTCCTGTAGAAAGTAACGAAACTTGCGAAGTGTCATACCACAGCGAGGCACTCCTATTTATTGATGTAGTACTTTTTAGAGGGCCGAAGTTTGGTTGAGGCATAGACTACGACTCTTCGGTTGTCCACTGTGCCCTGGAAGAGCACTGCACCCATTCCTTTCTCCTTGTATGAGTTAATGAAACAGTCAGAGCCACCAACTTCCACTTCCCAAGGTAGTAAAAAATGTTCAATTAGCAAATGATGGCTAATGGGGTTTATAAAAAGAAATGTATTTCATAATATTAAGATCACAGGAGAGTGTGGTATAGCAGATAAAGCAGCAGAAATATTTCCACGGGAGCTAGCAAAAATTATTGAAAATGGGGACTATTGTGCCGAACAAGCATTTAACGCTGATGACACAGGACTGTATTGGAAAAAACCGCCTAACCATACTTACATCATACAGGATGAAAAACTGCAAGTGGACATAAATCAAGTAAAAAACTTCTTCTTGTTCTTCTTTTTATATAGACATGACTCTATCTGTTTTTCAATGTGCCTCCAGTAAGTTGTTGTTCCATCGTTTTCGTGGTCTTCCTACTGATCGTCTTCCTATTGGGAACCGTCTCTTGCCGTCTTTACTACTCTATTTGTTGTCATTCGGCTTATATGATCGTTCCATTCTACTCTTCTATTTCTTACCCAGTTCTTGATGTTCTCCACCTTGTATCTACGTCGTATATCTGTACTTCTAGCTCTGTCCATGGTGTCTTATCATCAATTTTTCCAACTGTGTCCATCTCTGCTGTTTCTAATATCCTTTTTGTCTTCTCTGTATCAGGTCTTGTTTCTGTAAACTGGAAACATCGAGGAAAGATGGGAAAAATAACATAATTAATGCAGCAACAGATTCACTTGTAGAGAGGAAAGTAACGAACACTAACATATCAAACAAGAAAACATTATGATTGAATGAGGAAGTGAAGACGAAATGTGAAGAAAAGAAGAAAGCCTTTTTACAATACAGAACGCAATAAACACAACAGGCATACAGCCACTATAAATGAATCAGAAATGAAACGAATACTTTAGTTAGACAAGTAAAAAAATAACCTCGCCAAAGTTTCTCAAAACAGATGGAACACGGCTTCTATGGAACACAACGAGAAATATGGAGAATGATCAGATTACAAAAAAAAGAGAAAAACGAACTAATAAAAACGAAACTCATTTAGAAGGAAACATGGGTAGACTACTTTCGATCCCTATTTGCTAAAGGTGGCGATAATCAACCACCAACACTAGAGGTGACGACAAACGAAGAAATAAATATTAAGGAAGAGGTAAAGAAAGCATTAAGGAAATTAAAAAATAGAAAATCGCCAGGAAAAGACAGAATACCGAACGAACTCCTACAGTATGGAGGATCAGATCTAACCAAACAACACTTTGACTTCATTCGATGTTGCATTGCAAAGAAAGATCTGTTTCCTGCCATTATTCTCGTTTCAACTTCTCGCTCTAATTTGTTGTCATTTGTGATTGTTGCTCCTAGATATTTAAATTCTTTAACCACTTCGAAGTTGTGATCATTTATAGTAATGTTTTGCCTTATTCGCCGTCGTTCTTGTTTTGAGACGACCATGTATTTTGTTTTGTCTTCATTTATTTTTAGACCGATGTTTAATGCAGCTTCTTCAAAGCTCGAGAAAATATCCTTAATTTCTAATGTTGATTGTGCTACTGCGTCTACGTCATCGGCAAAGGCGAGTATGATTTTTGCTCCCCGAGCAGTTATGTCTGGTTTGATTTTTGGATATATTTTTCGCATGACATATTCTAAGGCCAGGTTAAACAACAATGGGGACAACGGATCTCCCTGTCTCAGTCCAGAATTTACGCAGAAAGCATTTGATATTTTCCCCCTATTCTAACTTGTGCAAAAGAGTTACTTACACACATTTGTGTTACCGCAGCTAGTTTCTTGGGTACGCCGAGCTCGATCATTGCCTTCCATAATGTTGCACGATTAATTGAATCATAAGCCTGTTTGAAGTCTATAAAAATCTGATGCACGTCGTGATTATATTCCCAATACTTTTCAAGCATTTGTCTTATTGTAAATATTTGATCAATAGTCGATCTGCCAGGCCTGAAACCACACTGGTAGTCACCAACTATTTCTTCGGCGTATGGTACTAATCTTTTTAATAATATCGAAGCCAATATTTTATATGTAGTGTTGATTAGTGAGATTCCTCTGTAATTCATGCATGATTCCTTTTTTCCTTTCTTGTGTATTGGTACAATAATACTACCACACCATTCTTTCGGCATTATTTCTTGTTGCCAGGCCATTTCTATTAATTGATGGATTTTACTTATGAGTTCATGACCGCCTGTTTTAATTAGCTCGGCATCAATATTGTCCAGACCAGGGGATTTATCGTTTTTAAGCGTTTTTATGGCATGCGTAATTTCTTCCATGCTTGGTGGGGGTATTTCTAATTCGACCGTTTGATACTCATGTTCTCCGTTGTTTCCACCATTTTCATTGTTTTCATCAGTGAAATTTTGGATATTCAGGAGCTCTTCAAAATATTCAGCCCATCTTTATATTATTTTGTTTTCGGCAGCAAAACATTTCTCCATTTTTATCTCTTACGAAGTTAGGTGTGCTTATATGCGAGACTCTCTTATGTTGTCTTACCTCTCTGTAGAAATTTTTACTTTGATTTCGTCTGTGTTCTCCTTCTACTTTTTCAATTTGTTGCTGCAGATATAGTTTCTTTTTTTGTCTAAGTGTTCTTCTAGGCCTTCTAAGTGTTTTGTCTGAGCTTGGCCTTTACGATAAAATGGTCTGTGTCGCTGTCCGGCCCTCTCATAGTTCTTACACTTATTATGCTGCTAGAATGTCTCCCATCAATCAATACGTGATCTATTTGATTATTTTTTCTTTCATCGTTTGATTTCCATATTGCCTTGTGGATCATTTTTCTAGCGAAATGGATGCTTTTGACGGCTAAGTTGCAGCCTGTCGCAAAAACGACGAAACGTGATCCATTATCGTTTGTAACTTCATGTAGACTGTATCTTCCTGCCACCGGTATTACGTAGTCTTCTGTGCCTACCTTCGCGTTTAGATCACCTAGTATTATTTTAATATCGTGGTAAAAAGCTTCTCTGTAGAGTTGATTTAGATAGTCGTAGAATTTACCTCTTAATGTTATGATGCAGATTGGTTCGTTTATTGTTTAAAGTCTAATAACTCTGATTGTAGTTTTTCATGTATTACAAAGCCACATCCTCTTTCATGGCGAGTTTTATGTCCAGACCACAGTACTAATGACTTCTTTATGTGTATTGTTCCAGACCCTGTCCATCTCATCTCCTGAATGGCTACTAGTTCTACATCATAGTTCAAGTTTTCTAGTTGTTTTATCGCTATCGTGGCAATTCCAGGTCTGTACCAACTTACTACATTCCATGTTCCTAATCGAATATCCTTTGTCCGTAGCTGCACCAATTTAATATAACCGCCATGAAATTTAACATAATAATTTCCCCAAAAAAAGACAAAATGAATGGTTACAACAGCAAATTTACTAAGATGTAAATTGGAGCTGGAAGGTCAGATAATAGAACAAGTGATGGAGTTAAGTAAAGATTGAGTTACTTTATTACATACTTTGTAGCAATACATTAGAAGATAGGATTTTGAAACCGCTAAATAAGTCTGTTTGACATTTACATTTACTTTACAAGAAAACAAGAAAAAGCAGTTGATGTTAAAAAAATTATAGAAAAGCATGATTTAAACACGTTTTGGAACGAGACAACTATGAAAAACATCCACCTGCAGACGAAGTTTATAAATAATTAGTTTAACTTTTAACAACAATACTAGTAAAAGAAAAAGGTTCTTCTGTTTTTCCTGTTTAATGACATGATATGAATAAATATAAATAGTCACAAAAATTAATAGAAATATGGACCAGACTTTTTAAAAGGCTATAGGACGTACCCCTCAGCGGCGGCTTGTGGCCTAAAAAAGTGGTGAAGACGAGGAAACCTTGCTGGAGCCCAAAGGAGTTTTGGTACCTACGTCGCACCCAAATCTCATTAAAAATTCGTTAAAAAAATGTAGAGTTTAGGGCTTTAATAACTTGAGAACAGTTTTTTAGGGCACTTATACTAGATACGATTCGTTCTGCTTGCCTGACATTTCATTGAGGGTTTTTTGGCGATTAAAACACCACGCCTGGTAAAACGAGTTTGTTGAGTTTCGATTCAGCCGGGTCAGGTGCTGATTACAGCCGATCACTCTGGATCCGACACTGCAGTGTTTACTGGTTTTGGTCCGCCCCGAGTAATTTATTTCCTTTTTACCACCTATATCTAGGAGACATTCCCCTATCTGCCACCTGATGGAGGTCCAACAACGTCTCACGGGATGACAGAGAGAGAGAGAGAGAGAGAGAGAGAGAGAGAGAGAGAGAGAGAAAGAGAGAGAGAGAGAGAGAGGACTAAAGTGACAGATATCATGGGCTGGACATGTAGCACGTTTAAATGATAATAGGTAGACCAAAAGACTCATAGAATGGAGACCTAGAGGGATAAAAGACACCGAGGTAGACCACCAAAAAGATGAATAGATGACTTGAGAAAAACAGTGCGAAATTCGATACAGATGGCACAAGACACGGAACAATGAAAGAATGTGGAGGATACCTATACAAAATTGGATGCAAGAGGTTGCGGAATAATGATAGTGATGATACTAGAACCAAGGGTGAAGAGATACTTAAACAAAAAAAAACAGTATTAGATAGACTAATAGAACTGACTTATCTAGTTTTTATAAATCAAGTCGATCTTTCGGTCTTTTAAGGAGGCAAATCTATCAATAATATCCTCGTAGAAAAGATGCTTCTGCATAAGTTCATTCAACAGTTCTTTATGAAGTGCGATAACAGTCAAACTGGATAGTCTATCTTGTGAAATAGTGTTTCTTGTAAAAGTTTTTAATCTTTTTAAGCACGAAAAACTTCTTTCTGCGGAAACGCTTGTCGATGGAATTGTCAGAATTAAACAAAACAAATTATAGGCTTCTGCAACAATGTCTTTAATTGGTTGTAACTTTATAACCAATTCTTGCAAATTCACATTTTTGTAATTTTCGTCGGCATAAAGAAGGCAGAGCTCACTTTTAAGTCTTTGATGTTTAGTAAATTGTGTGCCATAAAACTCAAATAAATTTTGAAAAGCGTCGGAAGGGAAGGTCAAACTGTATGACTCAAATTTTGTTGTATCTGCTAAGCTTACGAATTTTAATTTATCACAATCCTGAAAACGTATATCCATTTCCATTAAAATATGATCATATATTTCAAAAAATAATGCTCTGTATTGAGTAGTAATTGCATTCTTGCTCATACCATCATCACACCTAAACCGTTTGGAAGTATTAATGACCGTCATTGTGCTTGCTTTTTCAAAAATAGAATTAAAATATTCTTCATTTCTTTTATCACTTATTAATTGACGAGTTCTCCTTATCTGGTTTAAACAAAAATTAATATCTAGGGACTTTTTTTGAAGAACATCATATAAAATATCTGTTATATGAAAAATGTCGCTAAAAACTGTTGCTAAAAATGTGAACTCAAAATCATTTAAATCTCTTAAAAACCCTTTAGCCAGCTGAACTGATTTGCGGTCTGACTCTTCAGAATTCATTATATTATCAAAAACCTCTTTTAATTTTTCCCAGTCTTCAATAATTACACTGATTAATTTTGAATTAGACGACCATCTTGTCTCTGTAATTGTTGGCATACGTCTAGCCGATGTAGATGCAAGAGCGTACGATCGTTTTGCTGAACTATGAAAAAACGATGGGATTCCGGTAATAGTTGCAAAAAAAATTCGACATTTTGATATTTTCTTAAAGCTCTGTTGCAAAACAAGATTAAGTCGATGGGCTTATAATAAAGTGCACTAAACAAATAAACTTAATACTGTGACTAAACTAAACTAATAAATACACTACATAAACTATACTATATAAAAAATATCTATATAATAGACTAAATTTCAAAATATTGTCGCTGAGAGAAATTTCCGAAAAATAGGAATACTACATACACATTAAACTAGTAGGTGAAGACGGATAGTTTATTTTTCAATTGATCTGCACTTGCCAGTTTTCTCAGCTATCACTAACGACAGGCTGACGTCACGTTGCCATGGCAACCGTGAACGCTTGTGCAGATGAATTCCGCATTTCAAAAATGATATTCACCTATTCCTGAATCGTACACGGCTAGTGACACAGGTCAGGACTTGACCGTTAAGTACCTACCGCTAATAAAGCTAGTTATCTTTTTTAATTTTTAGATTAATTAAAAGAGAATAAATAATTAATTTCAGAATTTAGATATAATAATGTTGCTTTTATTTTTTATTTATTTGTCTCAATTTAATTATATTTTTTTGGTGAACCTCACCTTCACCTACTTCACCTGGCCGGCCGCCGCTGGTACCCCTCTTTTTCAACTCAAGTAATGTCTTTTTTTATGCAATTTTTATAGCGCTTTCTTGACACACCGTAAAGACCTTACTGTATAAACACATCATTGACTTTCTTCCCTCAAAGTTGAATCGGGTCTAAATATTTCTTCTTTAGTCATTCTATCTATGGTTTTTCTTTTTACCCTTTTCACTAGGATGTCTAGAAGTGTAAGATCAACGATTACTCTCATGTTACTCCATCTACCCGTTGGGCATGTTCTCATTGTATCTGTTTCACTTTTTCTCATGAAACTTCATGAGACTGGTCCTCGTGATGTTTATATTAGCTTATATTAGCTATATTAATTCTCCAGACTTATGGTATTTTTCCTTTGTCAGTTTCTAGGATAATAAAAAGAAAACGAGTAAAAAAATACAGAGAAAATGAAAATGTATTTAAATAGGTTTGGAGCTGTTGTCTGGACTATGAACCTTACTCCCAGATGGCTTGTTCGTTGGAATACTTGGAAGGTGTTTCGTTATCCGTCAGTTATTTACATATATAATTATTTTAGTTATCTGGTTTACTTAAAGACACATTGTTATGTTTAACACCTACGTAGGTGTCCGAATAAGGACAAGGTAAGATGAAGTGCGGTAAGTTATGGCCGCATTTCGGTAGGGGAAACAGAAGCAGATTATCAAAATTGTACATTTTTAAAAATATTCTATTTTTTATTGTATTTTACGATAAACTTATACGTAGAAACTTGTCTAATATAAAAAACTATAATACCAGTAAGACATTTTTAAACAAAAATAAAATCTCTTAAAGATAAAATGGGAGAAACTGTATTAACACCCCTATTTCCAATAGATCACATGCCATAAGTCAGTTAAAAAATATCTGTAAGGGGCGCTTACGTCGAGGTTTGGTATTAAATCATAACATCATATTATTCCTCAGATTCAGATATACATGTCAATACATTTTTGCAGATTTTCAGCCATACTTTTACAGTGTTTAAAATGTGTGAGTTAGTTAATCTTTAGTTTGAATATTTTTGGATAATGGATATTTCAACGTTGAGTTGAAAAACGTTATTTTTTTTAATATTCTGTCTCATAGTTAACCAATGAAGTAACGCAAATTAAATATTGTTTAAGTCTTATATTTTCCAAGTTTAAAACAAATTATAGTTGATAAATAGTAACAAGTTACAAATATAATATTGTAAAACTAATAAAAAAAATAAACGCTGTCCCACCAGGAATTCAAATGATCAATATAGGTAGATCTATAGATCTTCTTCTTTGCGTGCCATATCAGAATTATCTGACATTGGCGATCAACATTACGAAGGCTTCTTGATCTTTTGCAATATGGAATATGGAATATAAAATGGAAGTGTTATTTATTCTATTTAAAAAAAAATCATAAAACAGTTATAACTTATTTTATTCATATATGGGAATAATTTCGAAGAAATTCGATCCTTCAGTATTTTATGTTTTTTTGCCAATCCTATCATTTCAACAATGATTCTACGATTGGCAATGGCACTTTTTTTATTATTTCTTTTTTTGTTAACTAAGTCCCTTTCTTAAATGGATATATATTTAAATGTATTCCTTTTTTCTCTAAAATCTGATATTGGCGACGTGCAAGTACTTGGATGTGATACGAGAAACGATCGTGCGCGAGTAGCGGAGAAATCTTGCATTTTTTACTGCAAATTTCATAGATTTCATAAATTCATATTGTCAATTGTCATATTTCATATTCGTTTGTTTATTTACACCTTCTGTCACTGAAGAAAATGGGATTTAGGAAATGCTGTGTTATAAATTGTAAAAATACAACAAAAAATTGTCAATTTAAGTTTTATTCGTTTCCAACTTCGAAGCACAAATTACTACAAAGAGAAAAGTGGATTTATATCATAAAAAAGCATAAGTAACATAACCTAAATTATGCATTATTCTTGCGCCCGATTTTAAAGTCAGTTTGAAATAAATAATAAATAAAAGTTCACTTTTAAGTGTAAATTTTAGTTTCATAACACTCACTTTAAATTTTATTTTTTTGAAGTTTACAAAAATGCATCAAGTTCAAGTGTTTCTGAAGATGCATTAAGATATATTCGCTGTCCAAAAGTTTACAGGGAAAGAATTAATTGTTCAAACCAATATGATGATATCATGGGCTTAACCTGCTAATTTATGCATTAGCATTATTTATGGTAATTTATTTTTCTTAATTCTTCCACATAATTCTTCCATTCTTTTTTGACATTTGCCACTACTAAAGCTTTTCCATTTGACTCAGTGCTTGGTTGAAAAGTTATTTGGTGATTTACTTTCTCAAATCCAGTTTTTATTATTGCATCCATATTAACAGTAATGCTGTAATTTAATATTATATTTATTTGTATTTACACTACATACAACGTTTACCTTTTAATAACATACCGACATAACCTCAATCTTACTTTTTCTTCTTATTCTTTTTTGGGGCTACGTCCTTGACAGTTATCCGGTAACCTCGATCTAACATGAAAGCGCAGTAAATTTTGTTAATTTACGACACCAGGTGTCGCTGTTCCGAACTTGCACGGTCCCAATACCAAAAAACCCGTGTCCGCTTAAATAAATTCTCCTTCTTTAATAAGTCCTAAAATTCCGCATTCTACTATAATTTTTCTATCTGAAATACTGCCTCCATAAACATCAGATACATATACAATTTTATTTTTTCAGAGCATGCTATTAGTATTTTAAAGGTATTGGTTTCTTAATAAGTAGAATATGTTGTCTGTTGTATAATAGGATCATTGCTTCGGTCTCTTGGAATTTCGGTACGGTCCAGAATAATTTTGTATTGGTCTTCCGAAATTGTTGCAATGTTCCAAAAGTTTTTTTAAGCAAGTGTTAAGATGCTTGGTCCACTTAACAAATATTTTTCGGACAAAAAACCAGTAAAATGTTTCTTCTGACAAAAAGTTAGAAGAAATTAATTGACTTCTATTTCATGTTATCACGGTTTGAGTTGTAATACATGTTTTGAACTCGCTAATTTATTTTCATTAGCAGGTGTCTATGTTGAACAACACTTTTGTGTATCATTCTTAACTGTTTGTAATAATTCTGTTTCTGTTTGCTCTTTTTGTTTGTTTGGTGGCAATACTGCTGCACAAAGTCTTTTTCTATATCGATTCTTATCTATACTTCTCCCAGAGTCCTTCACTGGAGTCCCCAACGTTCTTTTTGGTAAATTTACTGAAGGTACTGCATCTTTTCTAAGGATCTTCCATTGTCCTAGAAAAACAAGACAATGACAATTCAAGAAATTAGGATAAGTATTTTTTAACTTACCCAAACTTGTAAAGACTTTAGACTTAGAAAAAACTTTCATTTGAAAAGTGCCTGGAACAGAGTTTTGTGTGTTTGCTGATACTTTTTTCAGACCTGATAGCGATGAACCATTGTTTTGGAAAGCTTTATTCAATGGGAATTTATGAAACTTAATATTGTCAGTTTAATTGGTAACTGAATGGCATTGTGGGACACAACAATTGCAAGGCATACTGTAAAGTTTTAGTAAAAGTGCCCAAACAATTAAAATGTCCTAAATAACTTATTAAAAACTTAAATCAGTCACAAAATTACATACCAACTAGGAAACGAGTACCAAACAGTGTAAATAAATGGCAGAATAAAATAAGGTTATGTTAAACCTTGTCGCCAGCGCCACCTACATGCATATGATCTATTATGTTTTGTATATATTTGTCTCGAATGTAAAATATACATTTTATTAGAATTATGGCAATAGCTCTTAATAAAATTTAAAGAGAACTCTATAAGTCAAAAAATGGTAACTAAAAAAAAATAAAAAACTAATTTGTTGTCCCTCCCAACTCCCAAAGTAGTCTTTGGGTTAAGTTATTATAGTCTATGACCTTCACAGTTGTTGATTACTGTCCTACATATGTAAGGCAAACTCATGGTCAATGCCTTGCTGCGGTATTCTATTCCACTTCATTTATTTTGCACAATATTTTGTTGTAAAATGTATTTGCCCAATATGTTCCAAACGTGCTCAATTGGGATTGTAGGCCATGGTAAAACTTCAATTTCATTACCTTCTAGGCGTGTTTAAACGACCCTGGCAGTGTTCGGATGCACATTGTTGTGCACTAATTGAAATTGGGAACCAGCTTGTTGCGTAGGGTAAAACAATATTCTCGAGAAGAATATCGCAGTAATCTGACAAACGAAATTGTTTCTTTCACCAAGTGATGCCACTCCATACCATTATACTG